AAGTAACGTAATCAGATTACTTTTAGATTACTTTTGGATTACTTTCTTTTTCCATAACAGATGGGTATGTTTTGGTGAACAGGAGACACAAAAAGCAAAAGGAAACTGAACGTGTTTTTACTGTTTTAATGGCTTATCAAGAGCACAACTGAAACATAACATCTGAAACGATGCAACAACATAATACACTTTTTGGGGATGCAGCTTGGGATGTGAGGAGTGAGGGACACGGCTTAGAACGGGCGTGTCGCCTTCTGTCCTGCCAGTGTTGGCGGGACATGAATTAAAATGTCGAACTCGGACTTCATTTTAAGGACATGTCGGCCAGGGGTGTAGAGCTATATTTGTTTAAGCACCGGATCGGCAAAACAGGAGACTCTGTGCACCGGTCTGCCTTGATCTATGAATTAATGTCCGTGACACTCACAGTATCTGCTGCCCACAGCTGTTTTATAGAAGGAAAACCTCCTTCACTTCATGAAATCTCTGCAGCACAAGGAGGCAGCGGGAGGGTTAACTCTGAGAAGAGGAGCGTGCAGTGCCTTTCACGCACCGCCTTCGCTGTGTTTACCTTCAGAATCATAAGGCTAAAGGGCGACTGCAGGCTGATGTGTTTTAACCACACACACCTCTACACACACACGACTTAAACGCAGACTTTTGTTATTGTTTCACTGAGCGGACCCGCCCCTTTTTTTTCAAACACCCCCTTTTTTGGTCCATCTGCGGCGGTAAAAGTTTTTGTGCGCTGTGATGATTCGGCTGTAGCTTTAATCATGAATATTAAATGTTGTGAGAAAATCTTTCCACCAATAATTCCAATAAGTAATCCAAAATGTATTCACTTCAGGTTTACGAAAGTAACTGTAATCAGATTACTCGTTTTTCAAATGTAACGCGAGCTGAATAGAGTTACTTGATTTTTGTATTCTGATTACGTAACGCCGTTACATGTATTTCGTTACAACCCAACCCTGTGGACCACCCATCAACAACTGCACACTACACAAACACACACTACACTACACTCCTGGGGTCCTGAGCAATAAAGCTGCCATGAAATAACTGCATCCCTTGTAAAGCTGAAGTTTAAGGGTCAGTTGGGTGCAAATGCTTACAAAAACGTCAGTCGCTGCACCCAGCATGCCGTATGGCGGTGTACCTGCACTGAATACAATGAGATAAACTGTTGTGAACAAGATGAATGGAGTCCCTCCATAGAATGGTGCAGTAATGAGTCCTACAACCCTGAAATTAGTCAGCATTTTACCACTTCCTGTTGCCATGGTGTCACACCGTTAACGTTTTTATGAATGTGTTTTTGGTTAGATGACTGAAATACAGTCTGTGGTTCACACAAGCTTAAGAGACATTTTGTTCTACAAAATAAAGACATCATGTCCATAGCTTCTACGAACTGTAAATGTGTCTTAAAAATGTAAGGTGCTAACGCCATCACACTGAACATCAGCAGCCTTTGGTTAAGCGTGCAGAACATGAAGTCGTGCAGACCTGATGTAGTTTGTTTGAAGCTGTTAGCGATTGAAGTAACGTTACAAAAATCATAAACGATAGTGTTAATTGTGAAGATTATCCTCCCGGACAAAACGTTTAAATACCACAAGCGTTTGTTTGCCACAGATCTTATTTCTTGCAATTCCAATGATACATTCCCATGCTTTTCTTTAGAGAGTCCTTGCAATGCTAACTTCAGGATTGGCTATTTCATCACTACACCACTGTCATTAGTTAGATATTTCATGCTATGGCTAGTGTATTTTTAAGGATTAACAGAACCAATAAAACCTGGTCACTTCAAGCAGCATTTGAACAATCCACCTTCAGTCATTAGGACTAGAGTTATCTATTCCACATGGGCGAGACGAAGGTTCTGCATTGCGTAAAGATATTTTATTTCCCTTACTTCTCAACAGCTTGAGCGGTGTTATGAAGAGCCCCCAGGAGGAATGTGAGTGTTGTAAATATCTCCAGAAATAAGGGGAAACTCAACCATTAAATGCCTGTTTAACTGAAAAATACGCAAACTTGTCAAACTTGTCAAACTTCTCCTCCCACAGCTAAATCTGTCCAGCTGGCATCAACATAATTGATTTTAATAATAAAAAGTTTTCCATGCTAGTTTGGGTTGCATATTTAAAATGACATTTATAAGTTACCATTGCTGCACTTTGTGATGGCTTTCCCAATATTCCCTTATCCACAGAGGATTTTATATTATGTTACGCCAGCAAAGCTTTGAGTGGCTCAATTGCTTTTATGACTGTTGAAACAGCCATCAATGAGCACAAAACTAGACTTGTTTAAATAATTCTAATAATCTCAAATGTGGGCAAAAGTCTGAATCCAAGTTTATAAATTAAGCCACTGGGAAGTCCTTCTGTTACCTGCCTTTCCCATGTGTACTACAGTATATACTTTATGTAATGTCATTATAAGCTCAGAGATGTATTGTCATCATACTTTTGTATCTTAAATGTTATCTCCATGGTTCATTAAATAGAGTGTTTGTTTCTTCCTATATTAGGTTTTTGCCTTGTTGCACCTTAGCATTGTTCCAGGAGAGCTTTCAGAATAAAATAAAAGACAAACACTGACTATGATTATAAATTAAAGAGCTGAAAAATATGTCAAATGTACATGTATATATTAATTCTTGACATCCATACCACTCTATTACACTACTTTTCAATCAGGAAATATGGATTTTGGTCCTTTTAATGTTTTCAAACAACATGGGATTCTCACAATCAAACTCCACTGTCACTGGAATATATTTTGGTCTCTTGTATGTAGGTTTATTTGACAGTTGACAGCCCGTTTTGGAGATATCAAAAGTGAGACATTGGGTCCTCACCTGTACGCATAGGGGTAAATACCAGCAACAATTGCATTGACAAAGTCGGATCATTCTGTGTAACTTGGATGTGTGTCACAGACTGAGAAGTGTTTGGATTCCCAGCAGGGCCTGTACTGATTTGAAACCCATTTAGTCATGGCCATTGATCTGCACCTTATGCTTTGATGACTCGATGTACCTGAAAGCTTCAGTTTACTCAAGCTGTGCTGCTGTATTTGCACTACAGTCAATCAAAGCCTCGGGGTGAGGGCTAACTGATTGTTACTTTGTTGTGATTTTTGTTTGCTTTTAGCTTTTACTGCATCACAAACAAGCAACAAAACACAAGTCATACTTCAGGGCCCAGGAGTTCAAAACTTTTAATCTCAATCAGATCCGATCAGATTTTGAAATCCCATTTTTTGTGATCCAGGATCAGACAAGTCGGACAGATTTTGTCCCTGTAGTTCAAAGCAATTCAGGATAGGATCACCCTGAACCAGATTACGACTTTTCAAGATTACTAGATCTTGAATATCAGTGCTTTAATCCTACCGATCGCCACAGATGGACTTTTTTTTTGTTGAAGATATTTTTACTAAATTACATTTGTGATTGACAATCTTTATTGTGATGAGCATAAACATTTATGTCATCAACATTTGGTTGAAAATAAAATAGGCCACCACAAACGTGAGCAAAAATGGAAAAATAAAATTGATTTGCCATGAAGGCTAAAAATTGTGTATTATTTCAGTTAACAAACTTTTCCATCTTATTTATATTGAAACATATTTTAAAATAAATGGTACAGTACATTTTGCTCTGGTAATCCACTGGAAATCCACCCCTCTGGTGGGATCAGGATAATCCAGTTTTTTGGGATCAAACTGATCCCAATCCTGTGTTGTCGGTTTGAACTACCCGTTTTGAAGATTTGATCCAGATTAAAGCTTGGATTGGATTTCCTGATCTGGTCGGATATCAAAGTGATCCTAATCCTGTTTTTTGGTTTTGAACTCCCCAAAATCCAAATCTGATTTGATCAGATAGGGATTACAAGTTTTGAACTCCTGGGCCCAGGTGATTTAGGAACTGAGGATTTCCAAGTATTTTAGAACGTTTATATGTTACTATTGTTGAATATAACTTGGGTTTGGAAGTCTTTTAAGAAATCAAACAAGACTAAATATAACCAAGGAGCACAGCATGACATAAAAAAGTTTGAAGAACTTCCATTTTTACCCGTTTCTATTCCTTTTACAACTGGACGGGGGAAAACATTGTTCGAAGTATATTAAAAGCTGCTTTTCTGCAGTGTTAACAGGATATTGTATTGATATGCTGCAAGTGAGTGTCGCCCTTAAACTGTTTATGATGCATTATCATTCTGCTAATAGCGTTGTGGCCCTTTATTACCTCCTCCAAAGTGGTGATGGTTGCGGTTCACTTTTTTGTCTGTCAGCAAGATTACTGTATACTGAGCTCTGAATACTTTGTCCCATGACTGCTTTGTATAACTAGATTTCTCTTTCTGTATATTTAATTATAATACTTCTACTTATATCTGGTCTGCATTGCTTGCTGCATTTGAGAAGGCTGACAATAAGCATTTCCTTTGGTTGAAAGGACTCCCGTAAAAAATAATCTTGTTATTGTACTGGACCAAATGTTATTTTTGGTAAATAACTACTAGATCATATCAAAGAATGTTGTCCTGCTGCTTATGTGTGTGAATAGCTATTGACATTAGCCTTACAAGAGGTCAGTGATTGAAATGCAAAACTGTTATGTTATGTTTTCCAAAAATCAAAGATTTTGCAATTAGGAGTTCATGTTTTACAGAATGTTCAGTATTGCTCTTGCTGCAGTAGCAGAAGCTTTAAAACTATTCTTCCTTTTCCCTTAATTATGAAACAAGGTTTTTTAAGCCCCCCTCATAATATTCCATCAGCGTATTTTTCCCTATCAAATGTGTGTGAGTTATCAGTGAGGCAAGGTGAGCTGAGGGCCGCTGTGCGCGCTGACTGGAGCTGTATAGATCAGCGGACTCCGAGAGATTATGTCCATTGATCGGACAGGAGTGGTTTGTGGTTTCTATTGACGGCGGTCTCCTGTCTGATGTTGTCTTCTGTGATTTCAGGGGCCGAAGGAGCCGTGTTCAGCAAATCGGTGGAGACGCCACATGTCAGGGCCGAGCCCTTCAAAGAGCTGAGGTGAGTCAGCATATGTTTTAATCCTGGCACCCATCAAACACATACACAGTCAATCAATACATCTCTAATAGTGTGGAAAGGTCCTGCACCTACACTGCATAAATACTGTGGTAATTCAATGAAACAATTACACTCACACAATAAATACAAACATACCCAAGCCTCCACAGAGTATAAAGGCCCTGACACACCAGGCCGAAATCGACCGTTTTCGTTAGTCGGACGACGAAGCGTGCCATGTCGCCCAAACTCAATTTGGTGTGTCCCGCACTGTCGGCCGTGACACGCCTTATTTGGCCT